GTATATTTTATTGTATGTTTCTAAAACATCCCTCGTAGCATCAGTTATGATATTACGGTTTTCATCGTTTTCTATGATGATATAATTATTTTTATTATCCTCTTTAGTCTTCTTCTTCATCCAACTCTCTTTGTCATCAAAATTCGTTTTAGATATTTGTTTATTGATTCTTGTTAGTGGGTAATCCCTTCTTTTTAAGAATTCAATAAAATCATTAACGTGTCTATCATAACTTGATCTTTTATCACAATTACGAATAAGACGTACATTTTCCCCATGTATCCAATTATAAATGTATTTTATTGGATAAAATGTTTTGGGATTTGTGTATATATGTTTGTTCATGGGTTTATTATAATTTTCAACTATTAACGTTTTGTTGTTATTAATAATTTCCCATGATAAACTTAAGTCTAGAAAACTAATTGGTTTATCTCTTGTTGAATCGATACAACCTGTATCTATTAGTTCTAGTGGTTTAACGATATTTTCAAGATTATTATCGTATATTCCTATCCAGAAATAAAATACTTCTTTGTATTTATCCCATATTTGATCTGGGAACCAAGCTAGCCAACTATGACTAACTATGGCTACAATGTCATCTAAATATCTAAATATTTGGATTTTATTTTTCATTTCTGCAAGAACGTTACACTCTATCATTGCTAATGTAAGATTAGCTATGATTGGAGATACTGGATTTCCCATTGGTAATCCTTTAATTTGAACATAAGTCTCATCTTTATATTCTATGTAACTAGTGGCGAAGATCCATGTGAGGAGTCTTCTATATACTCTCCATTTACCATGAGTACTGTTGGTACTATCTGGATCTGGTAAGTTTTGAGCGTAGTTAATAGCTTCTAGAGCTAATTTTCTTGTGATAGATGGATACATATCTTTAACATCTGCTGTGAATATTTTAAATTCCTCAGATGTAAAACGATCTGTTGGTAGTTTGTTTTGGAAGTCTAATGAACTATCCACTACCCATCCTATTTTTAATAACACTGGTTGTAATTCATTAGCTAACCATTTGCTAGCTCTTTCGTTAATCCAACCTACATTCGGAGTGATATATCTGCTAGTTACAAATTTAATATCAATCGGAGTTGTTGGACACTTGTGTACTTTTGGTAATATGTATACTTTGGGTATTTTCCTTTTTTCTGTATTAAGGACCCATTGAAGTATAGTTTGACCGTTAAATACTTCGTCAATATATTTATATTGATCTGTTACGGCTTCCCAACTAATATTCCTTTTAAAGAATAATTTTTTATTAAAGATGTATTTCTCTAACTCTGAGATATACCAATCTTTTGGGATTATCGTAAGGCCGAGGTTTTTATCGGCTGGGCTTACAATCAAGTCATTTTTTAACAAAAATTCAATACTTTTATTAACATCTTTATTAATCGCACGATAATTATATAACTTTTTATTATATTTAAAAATTTTATTATCTAAATTAAAAAATTTATTATCGAATAAATTGTTTATACAATTTATTTTTTTACAGCCGGCCCCTTCTTTTTTGGCAAGGTTGATGGTCTGTTCTTTGACCTGTTTCAATTTATTGAAAGCAGAGTTAAAGTTAGTAGTTTTTCTTAGTAATTGAAAATTGCTACCGCGATTTAACATGTTAATAATGTTATCAGGAATAGTAACATTAGTCATATTGTTAACAAATACCTCTTTGTTGTCTTGCCTTTCCCTTTGTTGGGTTTTCTTTTTTGGCCGACGACGGGTTTGTTTTTTTGTTTTTGTTGTTGTTGGACTTTTTGTTTTTTCGGGTGCGGTTTCGAAATAGTTATTTCGTCCACCTCTATCGATGAGTGAGTCCTTTTTGCCTTCTTCGCCGTTGCCATCACCAAGTGACTTGTGGACGCCTATATGAAGGAATTTATTAGATTTATTATTCTTATTAGAATTATAATCAACAACATTATTATTTACCCAAGCCAATGAAGTTCTGATTTGCTTTTTGCATTCCTCAAACAATTTGGTTTTGTTTGTGTTGATGAACTCTTTGGCATTTTGGGAGCAGTCTGTGGATTCTTGTGCAATTTCTATAAATTGCCCAAGGTCATCCCCAATTTTTTTAATTAGGGCTTCTTCTTTTATTTGTTCTTGAAGTTCCACTAGACTGTTGTTCAACTTAGTCAAGACATATTTTACTATGCCTTCATGCATGCCTTTTTCAAGGCCATCGGCGTATTCCTTAGTCATACGGTCGATGTTGTGATAAGTTGTAGAGTGATAGAAGCCAGGTTTTCTATCATTCGTTTTATCGATTTTGGCTTTTATGGCCGCAATCTGTTTTGTCATTGATACAATGTAATTGTGGAAACTGATTAATATGGGTTTGATTAAACCCTTAGGAGTCAGTTCGCTATCAATGAGGGATGATGACCCTGGAGTGGTAGAGGAGGAGGAGGAAGACGAGGAAAAATTGAACGATCCTAAGTTCTTGACCATTTTATTAACACGGCCAGATACTATGGATTGTCTTTTATTATTGTTATTGTTGTTCATTTTTGTGGTGACCGAAAAGTTCTCAAAGAAATTTATATATTAGCGGAATGAAGAATTGTTCTAGGAGGAAACAAAAAATTTTTCGAGAAAAATTTTTTATGAATATTTAAAAAATATAAAATACCTGATAAAGACCCTTCTCCCCAATCCAACAACATACTATTTATATAAAATTCAACAAAACTTGAACAACGTGAATATATCTCAGATATCCTATTTTGTATTATCCTTTTAATTATTATTTATATTATGTATGACTTGTTTGTCATATATAATTTATTCATTCTTCCAATAGATGGTTCGAATTATTAATTTTTAATTTACTTCGTGGGACATTAAATGCATATTATGATATCATATGTCATTTAATTAAAATTGTCCAACCTTGTAAAATTATGTCATACATTAATTAATTAATCTTGTGTAGATATTATGAAAATATTTACGTTAATTAATTTGGTGTTATTGAGTAACGTTATTTAATATAAAATTAAATTTTGTGTCACTAAAGTAACATTGTACTTAATAAATTATATTTATATACATTGTATGTGATAATCTTTTTTATTATCCTTTTTTATCTTGGTCATTGTCTCCGACCTAATAGATAAATGATTATCAAAATATTATATCCTATTTTTAGTTTATAATATAATCATAATGTTTATTTTTAAGTTTAAACATTATTAATAATTGGTAAAAGCATGTGGAATCTATACATTCAGCCATACTTAGATGTTGAGCAATACAGCTCTAAACATTTGCTAATGACCTAGATATTTTTCCTTACTTTTGATAATGCATCGAATAACGATTCTCCTTTTTTAGTAACTAACGCTACTTTAAAATCTGAATCGTATATTTTATTGTATGTTTCTAAAACATCCCTCGTAGCATCAGTTATGATATTACGGTTTTCATCGTTTTCTATGACTAATGCTACTTTGAAGTTCTACGGTCACGTGATTTTCAGCAAGCCATCAGGTCACGTGACCACGGGCGATCATTCCATAAATGGGAGAAATCAGCAACAATAATAATGAATAATATAACAAAGGTATATAAAAAAAGAGAATTAATTATTTTTAATGATTAATGAGTCAAAGGGTTGTTACATGAATAATATGATTAAAAAATAGTATATACATTGTCCATAATTTAATAAACTTAATATTAAAGCCCTATAAAAAATAAAATACAGAAAAGATATTGTCACCAATTAAATTTGGGAGAGTGTATTTTAATTGGTAATAACAATTATTTTTGTTTTGTGTGGATCAGAATGAATAGGGGATCAATGAATTGATTTTGGTATATATTAGAGAATAATTTTGGTTAAAAACGATAAAAGTTTATTTAAATATGATATTACTGTTTTATTTTTTTAGTTATATTTAGTTGAAATTAATTAACTTATTACCAAGTTTTCCTTAGTCAAAACTAATTAACTTGTTAGAAAGTTTTCCTTAGTCAAAACTAACTTGTTACAAAGTTATTTTTACAGTAGGTCAAATTTGGGTTCTTTATATACATGTCGATTAATTATAAGCCCATTTGGGTTTATGTGCCCACATGGGCACATTGTCACTAATTTTTACTAAATATAGTTGGGCCATCAGGAAATTAAAATTTATGCAAGTTACACGAATTTTACAGTTGTAAAATCTACACAATATTACGGGGCCCGCAGTAAGTTTATGTAATGTAAAAATTATAAAAATGCACACAAATTTATGTAAAGTCCAACACTAAAAAATTTATATAATAATAAAAAACTTTATTTAATTTTTTTTCAAATACAAATATTTTTATATACAATAAATATTACAAATGATCTAAAAAATAAAAATAGAATGATTTTGCCCATTTTTGAAAACAAATATTAACATATTAATACAATGTGCCAGATAGCCACGTAACAATAAACTGTCATTCAACTATAATAGTAAATCCCGTTTTTGAAAACAAATATTAATAAAATGTAATATATACAATAAGAATTATTATTATTATCACTTACAATAAACTGTCGTTCAATCATAATAGTAAACCCTGTTTTTTAAAAACAAATATTAATAAATGTTAAATATATATGCAATAAAAAATATTATTATTATTACCAGATAGCCGCGTAACAATAAACTGTCATTCAACTATAATAGTAAATCCCGTTTTTGAAACAAATATTAATAAAATGTTATATATACAATAAGAATTATTATTATTATCACTTACCAGATAGCATGTAACAATAAACCGTCGTTCAATCATAATAGTAAACCCCGTTTTTTAAAAACTGTCATTCAATCATAAACCCGTTTTTGAAACAAATATTAATAAAATATTATATTGTCATTCAACTATAATAGTAAATCCTGTTTTTGAAAACAAATATTAATAAAATGTTATATAATTATTATTACCAAATAGTCGCGTAACAACAAATTGTCGTTAAATCATAATAGTAAACCCCGTTTTTGAAAACAAATATTAATAAATGTTATATATACAATAAGAATTATTACCAGATAGCCGTGTAACAATAGACTGTCGTTCAACCATAATAGTAAACCCTGTTTTGAAGATTATTAGTAATATATTATTACGTTATATATATATTTATAAAATAATATTTATCATGTTTGTTTGATCAATTGAATCACATAAATAAATACCTTCATCATATACTCCTTCATCTAAAATATCTTTGCCATACATTTTTTTTGGTCCAAAGCAATACCTTCTTCAACATATACCTATATTAAATTGCTTTAATAAAATATCATG